GCTGCTCATATATATATATATATATTGATTCTCCATCAGTCAACTGTGCAGTCACGTTTCCTCACTGCTAGTAAAATATATATATATATATAAAAGTTCTCGGGGTCATAGAAAGATGCTTTCAGCACCCATGTGCCTCTTGTTTTCCAGCTTTTGAAGTCACAAGTTTCACAGTATTCTCCAGCTTTTGAAGTCACAAGCCTCACAACTCCAGTCACAGGCCTTACAGTTCCCAGTTCACAAGCTTAACAGTTATCCACTTTGCCTATAAAAGAAGCTCCTCAGTCAAGGCCATTTCAGAGTTGGAAAGAGGTTAAATTTTGTTTCGCAATTTCTGTCAAAATAGTATTCAAATTCAGTTTTCAAGGATGCAAGTTGTAGCTGTATTTTTCAGTTACTTCCAGCAAACAATTATGTATTTTCTAGTTATTTCCAATAAACGATTGTAAGTTTATTTTGTATTACTATTTCTGCTTTTGTGTTACTATTTCTTCTTAACTTGTTTTATTTGTGTAATTTATTTATATGTGTTTTTATTTATATGTTATTTCAATTTAGTTATTTTAACTTGTTTTATTTATGTGTTGCTTCCGCTTTTGTTATATAATTTAAATAATGATAAACGAGCCGAGCTTATGCGAGCTCAAGCTCGGCTCGTTTACTAAACGAGCCGAGCCGAGCCGAGCCGAGCCGAGCCCTTAACGAGCCGAACTGAGTTTGTTCATGAACAACTCGGTTCATTTGTAGCCCTAACTTTGATCCTTGAATCTCAAAATGTTTGTGGGGGTGGGAGAGGGAGTCAAATCCTAGATGATGTGCTAGTGGCAAATGAAGTGCTTGATTTGAGATTGAGAAGCGGGAATCCATTGTTGATTTGTAAGCTTGATTTAGTGAAAGCTTATTACCATGTTGATTGGGGTTCCTTTTCATGTGATGAGTAAAATGGGGTTCTGCCTGAAATTAAGGGAGTCGATTTGATAATGCATTTCCAGTCATGCTTTCAGTTTTGATTAATGGTTCCCTAGTGGGGTTTTTTTCAGACCTCGGCAAAGGATTTGTTGTATCCTCCCGTGTTTATCTTATGTATGGAGATGTTGAATGGTTTTTTTGGAAGGTTTTGAGGTGGAAAGGGTGAGCGGTTTATTCTCTTAGGCGTCCCGCTTGTTATATGATGACGATACTATTTATTTTTATGGCACTAATCTCATGGTTGGGCTATATTTGATGTGTTCTTCTATGCTTTGAAGTGGTGTTGAGTCCGAAGGTGAATCTTGGGAATTAAGTTCTGATTTCGGTTGGTAATGTGTGTAATGTTGGGGTTTCGGCTTCCATTTTGGGAAGCAAAATAGAGGCTTTACTTGTCACCTATTTGTCGCTTCTTTTGTCGTCTTTTTTTTTTTTATAAATTTTTTGTTAGGTAGGGTTCTTTGTGGTTTTCCGTAATGGCTATACATGTGTGGGATTCAATTGTAGAAAGATTTTTTTCGGCTTAGCAAGGTGGAAGGGACTATTTATCTAAAGGAGGTAGGCTAGCTTTAATTAAAAGTACACTATTTAGTCTTCGTACTTTTTTCATGCCTTTTTTACTATTCTTGGTTCAGTGGTTAAGAGATTGGAAAAGCTGCAACGAGACTTCATATGGGGCAGGATTGCTGATGAGTTGGAAAGAGACTTCATTTGGTTGTTCATATGGATTTTTAATATATACATATATTTTTTTATATTTTATTCAATGTGTCCCCAGCGTGTTTATATCCTAATGTTTAGATAAATGTCATGTTGGCATGTCCATATTGTGTCGTATCAATATCTGTGCTCTTTAATGTAAAAAATAATATAGAAAAATACTGTTTCCTTCATTTTAAAATATGAAAGAGCTGGAAAAACCCAATCTGATGGAAGACACTACAACTGAAATGACAATCTTTAAGTCAAATATGTAGTTCAGTCCATCGCGTATAATAAAACTTGGATATTAAGTTATACCATGTTTGAACAGAACTGACTTCAGTTTCTTACATTTGCTTTATAGGTTCTATCAAATCTCGATTGTTGTAGCACTGAAGTTTCTGCAAAATTTCAGTATTCATCTTCGGCTGTCAATGAAGAAGAAAGCTCCAATCATCTTCTGGAAAGTATCATTGTTGAAAAATTTGATAACCTAACTAATGAAGTTGAATCTGACGAGGTTCTTGATTGTTCAATACCTGAAAACGCGAGTGACCCAGGATCTTTCTCAACAGTTGATGAAAATAATGAAAATTCCCATACTAAATCTTCTGCCAGTGGAAGTTCTAGCGACAGCCCGACTTTGTCTGCGATTCTTAGGATGGATTCAGTGGCTCGATTGTCAATGCTGAGGAAACGGATAAGCTTGGTGGAGAACGTGACCGCTCTGTCAAGGAACGATTGTGCATGGCTGTTTGCTCTGTGCGCTGCAATCGACACTCCACTAGATGCTGACACGTGTGCAGCCCTTAGGTGTTTGCTGAGGAAGTCTGCAAGCTTGCGAGCTGCAAAATCTGAAGTCAATGATGAAGTTGTCATGCTTAATATTCTGGTAACGATTACGGGTAAATACTTTGGGCAGTTAGAATACTGAGGTTCTTATAAGTTCATCTGGGGCATTGCAATGGCCATGGATTGTGCTTGCGTTTTTTGTTTTTGTTTTTGTTTTTGTTTTCAATCCAGGGTGTAATTTGTTTTATTTGCTCAATATAATGGTTGTCTATGCCACACTTGGTAAATGAATGTGTTACCACAGAAATGCATATGTTGTTTACTTTGGCATGCATGTTTGATTCTCAGTTATGAGGATGAACAATGGATTAGGTTGTTATCTTTTGCGTCCATTGAGAAGAAAATAAAGAAAACATAGGACCTGTTTGGTTGGTGTATTTTTGGTTTCTTCATTTTCTTTTAATGAAAGGTTTGAAAACACCCTGCATTTTCATATTGTTTTGTTTTTGTTCCAAGATAGTTTTCAAAAATTAAAAGAACTGTTTTTTTGGTGTTTCTTAAAAAGTGGATTGTTTTAAAATAAAAATAAATAAATTTGTCAAAAGTAGTTACCATTTTTATCTTTTTTATTTGGATTTTTTTTTTGTTTTTGTTTTTTGTATTTTTCTAGAATAAAAACAAAAAACATGCAACAAAATTACAATCAAACAAATCCGTGGATATTAGTGGGTTGTTATCGATTGGGTTTTATAAAGAAAAGGACACTTCTAATTCTTTACACATTTTTGAGGGCTGCTATTAGCATCTATTTATTTACTTTGAATCTCCCAATTCTTTGAACCTCCGCCTAGCAAAATGAGTCTTCACTATTTTCTCTTTGAACATTCATCTTAATACCAACTATACCCAAACCCAAACCCTAGCCCCCACTTTCAACCACCACCTCCAACACCACTGTCATTGCTTCTGGTAGCCCACCTCCTACCCCCTTTCTTCTTTTTCTTCTTCTTCACCTTCTCTGTTTCAGCTCTGGCAAACCACCATTGCACTATCGCACCACCGCGATCTGAGTCAAAGAGAGAGATCTGAACTTGAATCTGAATAGCACCGCCTTCTTTGTCTTGCCATCACACCACTACAACACTTCCCCTACCTCGTCGCAAACCTCTTCCCTGATCGCGAACCTTAACCTAGTCTTCTTTTTTTCGCTGCAAAAACCCATTGCCAGTCGTCATGTTGCCACCGTTGCCATCGCCTCACTCTCTCTCTCTCTCTCTCTCTCTCTCTCTCTTGCTTGATCTTCGTCTCACTCTCTTTTGAAACCCTAGGTCTAGGTTAGGGTTTGGTGAAAATGGCCAAAGAGGATAGGGGAGGAAGATTGACAGTGAGATCTAGGGTTAGGGTTTCGGTGATGATGGCAACGGTGGTAGGTGGTGGGTGGTGATGGCAGCGGTGCAGTGGTGGAAAGAAGAAGAGAGTGCTACGATGTTAGGGGTGACAGGAAGGTGGATGGCCGACGTTGGGGTGAATGGTGGCTTTCGGAGGTGATGAAATTAGGGTTAGGGTGAAAAATTAGGGTTAGAGGGTTAAGGATGAAGGTAGAAATGGAATTTTGTCTTTGGACAAAATTGGAATTAAAAAAAAGAAAGAAAGAATTTGGGAGGAAGGGAGGGGCAAAGTAAATAGGCAGGTGCTAATAGTAGCCCTCTTTATTTTTATTACATTTCTATTCCTGTCTAAAATTACCAAAAAGACATAACATCCCCAATTTAAAAATCTAATTTTTCATTACACTCTAATCACATCACCACCACCACCTCCACCAGCTCACAACCGTTGCCACCTCTCTACCACCACCACCACCTTTCTCCTCCATCCAACCTCTCTCTACCTTACCTCTCTCATTTGTCATCGCCCCTCCTTTCCACCCAGTCCCTTCCACCAACCATCGCTACCTAATCCCTCTCCACCAACTGTAGGTTTTACGAACCATTCGATTCTGGTTCGCCAAACACATGACCTTTATTCGGTTGTGGGCTACTGAACATGCAAGATATGTCCGGTTCTAGGAAGTCGAACATGATGGGTCTATACGTTTGGCAAGAGATGTAAGCGTTTTTCAATTTTGTTCAGTAGTAGCTATCTATGCGATTTGGTTTTGTTCGGCAATGGGGCTTTGGACTGTTTGGTTTCGTTGGTTCTACTACACCGAACAAAATTTGAACAACCATTTCCGAGCACTGTGAGCTCCTCTCTCCGCCACAATGGTGGTAAGTGGCGATGACAATGCGTCGCAGTGGTAGGGAACACAAATGGAGTGCTTACGCAGGGTGGTAATGGTTATGGCAGTGAGGGGCATGAAGGTGGTGGTCATGACAGTGGTGGTGATCGTGGCAGTGAGACAATGGAGGGAGTGGCAATTGCAATGGGATGGTGCTCAGAGGTGATGGGGGAAGAAGTTAGGGTTTTTTAAGGTTTTGGGTGTAAGAAGAAGAGTGGATAGTAGGGATCAAGGTACGAATGTAATTATAGAAATTGTGAAAAAAAATAAAATTAAAATTTTGAGGGTGTAAGGAGTTAGTTTTGTGGTGTAAGTAGAGTTACCCAATAGAAAAACAAAACAATAAAATTGTATGATAAGGTCTGTTTTATCACCCTAATTACACTATAAGAACTATTTGGTATAATTTCTTATAAATAGCAAAAAGTTGATGATAAGAAAACAAAAGTTAAAAGCAGTCATTTTTATACTTGTTCAGCTATTTTTTTCCGAAAAGCAGAGTCCGATACAAAGCCATATGATAGCACCCAATTTTTCAAATTTGGCGGGTCAATTTATGATTTATCATTCATGAACGTTGATGAGATCCTTCCATTTAGCAGCACCTTAGGATGACATAGTGTAGATAGTCCATTTTGACTGACCCTAAGACTTCAGGTGCTTATAAGCTTCCCAATAATGAAATTGTAATTACTTCATCTTTGGAATGTTTAAAGTTGTTTAGAGTTGCCGTATAAACTTGTTTTGGCTAAAAATTGACTTTTTGCAAAAAATGACCATTTTACCCCTAGACTCATTTTTAGCCAAAAACTACCTTTTTAACCTCGAGAAAGAGAAGAAAGTCCGATTGTACCTTGATCAAAGACATTTTTCAAAATTAGTGGCTGGATTTATTAAAAACATTGATTAGAGAGCAATTTGGGCTTTCTTGGGCAATAGGTAAGTCAAGAGCATGGAACCTTGCACTTATGCATACATAGATGACACGTGTACCAAGGCAAGTTGTGCGTGCGCATGTGATCCAAGAATGGTAGAGCCAGTTTTGGAAACTTAATCTTTGTGCATTTCTGGAGAGAGGTAGCAAGGGGGAAGTGATGAAACCCTAGAAGGGTTCCATAACCTCCCCTCTACCTATAAAAGGGACCTCTGTCCCTCCCTTTCAAAGGGTTAGACTCTTGAGAGCTTTTAGTGAATTTTAAAAGCAAAACACTCTCCTTTCCTTTTTCTTGCCTTGACTCTGAAATTTCTCCACCTACAGCAACTTTAAACTTCTAAAAATCTTCCAAAGCTTGAAGAATTCGACCCTAACTCAGAACTTTTGCTTGAAGGAGGCTTGTGAGTAAATTCTTTACGTTTTTCTTCGCGTATTCTTCGGTTTAATTTAACTTTAACTTTTAACTTTTCTATTTCAGTACCCTTTTTGCTTTATTTTTCAGTGTTCATTCATGCTAGGTTGTTAGTCCATCATAGCATCATGTAGTTCCTTAGTTTCATTTGTTTTTTCACCTTTTCTCTTGCATGTGTTCTTTATTTTGTTAAACTACATGTTTTTAGGCCTCATTTGATCATATAATATGCATGCATAAGCTTGGTTGATCATCATATAGTTAGTTTGTATTTTTACTTGTTAGTTGCTTTTCTTGCATAATCATCATGTTAGTAGTCTCAAACCGGGCCTAGGATCATATTTTATATATTTAAAAGCATATTAGGTCATGTTTAATTTATGTGCTGCATGAAAGATGCATAAGTGGGTATCCAAGTAAGTTTTCTCCATTCTCATAGCTTATGCTTGTTCTATGCATTGTTCTTCAATTAATCCAAGTTAAATACTCTATTTATGCAAATTGGATTTTTTTGATTATTTTTATGAATATTGCATGGTTTAGTTCATGTTTATGGCCATATATCTCTTTTTGGTAGAAAATCTTCATTTTTGGTAAAAATATAACTTATTCATAGAATCTAAATTGAGTGATATTTATGATATTCAAATCATTTAGTATGGTTTAGGCTTAAAATAGATTGTATGAAATAATTAACTGCTAAAATCATAAAATAGAAAATTAGTAGAGGCCAATCTTCTGATTGGACAAAAAAGGAAGCTATCATTCAATGACCTTTCCCTTTTGTATTTAAACTCTTGAACCTAGAATTTTTTGGTTATGACGGATCGGTACTTAACTTAGTTTTCTTTATTAAAGGTTTCTTAATTCTCCTTTAAAAATTAAATAGCGACTCTTTATTGATTAAAACAAGTTAGCACAACATTTTGTGTGGAAAAGGGCCTTAGACTCAAAAAAGGCATGGCGCCCACACATAGCCTTAAAGTGAAGGATGAGGTTTAAATGAGGAAAGGCTTATGGTGGATACCTAGGCACCCAGAGATGATGAAGGGTGTCGTAAGCAATGAAATGCTTTGGGGAGTCTAAATACCTCATTCAAGAATTGTTTTTGATCCAATCCGTAGGAATCAATAGAAAAGGCAAAATCCCTTATGATATTAAAAAAAAAAAATTACTATGCAAAAGTAGTTTAATTAAATAAAAATAAAAAAATAAATTTATACCATTAACTTTATAAGCCCTGTTATTATTAGATGATATGGTAGGAATAACAACTCCCACCATGGACCATCTAGCAATTTTCTTTTGTCATCCAAAATTTTAGTAGATGCAAAGGGAAAAAAAATGGAATTCTTGCATTTTGTGTAGGGATTGTAGTAGGGAAATTCTATTTACATATCATAAATTGTCTCTATACATGCCATTACTTAGTTCACATATATGATATTTTCTACTTTGAATTTATATTCAAAACACACTCTAATCTTTCCTTTTTTACCTCAACACATTAAAAAAAAAAGAAAAAAGATATAAGTACACACCACCATACACAAAACACATGTCTAGAATAAAGAGCTACATCGACAACAACTGATAACACCAATACATTGTTGAAGACATTGAAGAAATAACCCTTGTCGCCGGCATTGTAATAGTACAATTACCCTCACAAAGATCGACATAGCACTGAAGAAACTACTGGGCAAAGATTTTTGATTCTCACCTCCGAAAATCTATGATTCTCACATCTAAATCTCGCTTAGTTTATTTTTTCGGTTAGTGATTCTTACCTTCCCATAGCAGTTTCGAT